TTTTTTCTTTCTACATGCATTCTTTCTTTCTTTCTACATGAATCCTTTCTTTTCGCATTCAACAAAGGAATCAGCTTCCAAAGACGACGTGCCTTCAACCCCAGACATCTGCTTCAAACCGCCAGAAATCCTTTTTCCTCAAAGATCAACTGCTTCGCATTGTCAAAATTCCATCTCAGTTGCGTTTCTCTCAAAGACAATAAAAACATTCTTTGCTTTTCTTTTTCTTTAAATTAACAGGAGACATTTTCACTTGCGGCAAAAAAGTAACTAAACTCTATAAATCGCATTTATATTGACAATTAAAAGTAAAAATCTCTTCTGATATTTACTATGTTTAATCTGGTACAAGGCTCTGATTTGGGCGCATATAGTAAAAATCAAATTTAGTGTTCAGTTCTAAAATTCTTCTGGGATGTACGGTAATTGTCATGGTTCCGAGAAGTGGAATCTGCTAAATGAGTTCAAATTCCAAATTAGTTTGTCGCATTCACATTCACACTGATGCTTGAGGGAAAGGCATGGATAAATGTCTTATCCATCTCCCCAGCTATGGATTAAATAGCATAATAGGTTCGGTTCTCTGGGCTTGGTTGGTAATGAGTCTAATTGAAGGACTACTAGATTAGAAAAATGTAGTAAACAAAACGAGGAATACACTACACTATCTTTCAAAAGAAGTCGTGACAATTCACAGACTAAAAAAAAGAAATCTGTTGAGAAGGCAATGGGAAATTTCACTACTCTCTTACCCGAGAAATCATGGCATTTCACTGATAATAAAGAAAATGGATTTGTCGAGAATGCAATGGGAAACTACTCCGCTATCTTTCTCAAGAAGTTGTGGAAATTGACAAATAATAAAGAAAAGAGATCTGTGGAGAAGGCTTTGGAAAAACACTTCACTATCTTTCCAAAGAAGTCATGACATCTCACAAATGATAAAGAAAAGGAGTCTGCGGAGATGGCAATGGAAAACGACTCCTCTATATTTCCAAAGACACTTTTATAAATAGTGGTTACATTCTTTTAATGTAAAGTACATGCTGGATTTGTAATCCTTTTTCTTTAAAGGTAACCCCCCCGCTTCGCACACGAATCAGATACCATTTTGAAGCAAGTCAAAAATTGTGTATCTATCAAAGTCCGTTGCGAATCTTTCTTTCACTATTGTTCTTTATTTATCACTTTATTAATCCGTATATTTTTATCAGTACGGTCTATTCATTTCTATCTGCCTCTCCCGGTCTATTCATTTCTATCTGCCTCTCCCGGTCTATTCATTTCTATCTGCCTCTCCCTGTCTATTCATTTCTATTTGTCTATCCAAGTCTAACCAAATTTCTCTATATCAGTCTATCCAAAACTGACTATTTTGCTGTGTCAGTCTGTTCAAATGAAATTTCCTCATTATCTATCTATCTATCTATCTATCTATCTATCTATCTATCTATCTATCTGAGAGTGTTCACTATCTATCTATCTATCTATCTATCTATCTATCTATCTATCTATCTATCTATCTATCTATCTATTTCTGACTGCTTATCTATCTATCTATCTATCTATCTATCTATCTATCTATCTATTCATCTATCTATCTATCTATCTATCTATCTATCTATCTATCTATCTATCTATCTATCTATCTATTTCTGACTGCTTATCTATCTATCTATCTATCTATCTATCTATCTATCTATCTATCTGAGAGTGTTCATTATCTATCTATCTATCTATCTATCTATCTATCTATCTATCTATCTATCTATCTATCTATCTATCTGAGAGTGTTCACTATCTATCTATCTATCTATCTATCTATCTATCTATCTATCTATCTAGCTGTGTGTGTGTGCGTGTTTATGTATCTGTGTATGTTCATATCAAAGTCCGTTCTTATTTGTCTGAGATTTTCATATTTTGCAGTCAGCCGACTCTTTTGCATCTACGATTTTAACTCACAGTCCGCCATATTATCAAAAGCTATCGTCTGCTTTGACTTGTGCCAATAAAATATTTACCGGAAGTTCTAATCCTTCCCATCGCTTCTGAATTGGTTTTCGTTTAGGCGATGTGCGTTAGTTCCACTTTAATCAGCCGTTAACTGATATGACATCAACTTCCGCCTACCTATATCCTTGTCTGCATTTTCACATCCGGTCAGGGGCGCTAGTTTTCAGATCTTTTCCCGTAAAATTGCTGGACCAGTCGAAGAGCGGTCTTAATTGAATATCATGCGATGGAATGGTCCAAAGGCATGCGTGTACTGAGTTGAATGATGAAGAGGGGATAACGATCTGGAAAGAAGGAGAAAGAGAGAGAGAGAGAGAGAGAGAGAGAGAGAGAGAGAGAGAGAGGGATGTAGGGAGAAGAAAATAGAAAAGAAAGAAAGAAAAACAAAAGAAAGCAAAGGATAAAATACAAAGAAAGGAAAAATATTAGGAAGGAAGGAAAAGAAAGAAAGTAACAGATAGAAAGAAAAAAGAAAAGAAAAGAAAAAGCTTTGTTGGGCGCGAGTCGGAGAAAGTAAAACGACAAATAGAAAAAGAGAAATAAAGGGAGAAGAAAATAGAAAAGAAAGAAAAACAAAAAAAAAGAAGAATGAAAAAAGGAGAGAGAATAAAGTCAAGTGAAGAAAGAAAGAAAGAAAGAAAGAAAGAAAGAAAAAGATTTTGGCCGCTGTGTGCATGACAAAAAATGAAAGTAGTCAAAGATAGAAAAACAAAAAAGATAAAGAAGTAAAAAAGAAAAGGAAAAAGAAAAAGAAAAAACAAATAGGAAAAATAAAAAACCCATAAATAATGAAAATATGAAAATAGAAAATAAAGAAAAAGAAAAAAAAACAGGAAGGAAAATCAAAGAAAGAAAGAAAGAAAGAAAGAAAGAAAGAAAGAAAGAAAGAAGGTGGGGATGAGGGAGGGGAAAACGAAGTCATAAAGAAATAAGGTAAGAAAAAAGAAAGCATGTAAAGAAAAAAGAAAGAAAGAAAAAAGAAAGAAAGAAAGAAAGAAAGAAGGTGGGATGAGGGAGGGGAAAACGAAGTCATAAAGAAATAAGGTAAGAAAAAAGAGAGCATGTAAAGAAAAAAAAAGAAAAAAAAAAAAAAAGAAAGAAAAAGAAAGAAAGAAAGAAAGAAGGTGGGATGAGGGAGGGGAAAACGAAGTCATAAAGAAATAAGGTAAGAAAAAAGAGAGCATGTAAAGAAAAAAGAAAGAAAGAAAAAAGAAAGAAAGAAAGAAAGAAAGAAAGAAAGAAAGAAAGAAAGAAATAAGGTGGGGATGAGGGAGGGGAAAATGAAGTCATAAAAAACAAAGTAAGAAAAAAGAGAGCATGCGAAGAAAGAAAGAAAGAAATAAAGTAAGAAAAGAAAAGAAAGAAAGAAAGAAAGAAAGAAAGAAAGAAAGAAAGAAAGAAAGAAAGAAAGAATTAAGGTAGGGATGATGGAGGGGAAAAGAAAGTCATAAAAAAATAAGAAAAGAAAAGAAAGAAAGAAAGAAAGAAAAGGAGGACAAAGAAAAGAAAATGTCGCGAAGCAAATGCTTAGGAAATGTAGTACGAACATTTGCCAGCACACTTTTAGAGTACTGTATAAACATGCATAAAGGGAGTATTTCGAAAGAAACGGTAGAAACTAGAAATATATAAATAAACACTCGAAAGGTCATGACTATAAATAATTCTAAGCACTAATTCTAAAAAAAAAAAATAACAAGGGAGAGCCGTTTCCTCTATTCCCTTACCACCCACCACCAGTTGCCATATACAGGAGCCCGCTGAAGGAGTAATGCCACTTGATCTGAAGACCGCCTGAGGTATGGAACTGACAGTCGCCATGAAGTGTAGATTCCTATATCGACGCTGCTTATATCTATATATTCTTCGGGTAAGCCGTTAAAAGAAAGAGATTCGGAAGCGGAGGTTAAAGCTTTTAAGATAATTGCATCATAAGAAGATGCAATTTTCTAAGATGAGGAGGGGGGGCGGCTCCACCCACGCGTATCTGCTTGAAGTAAATGTATTCAAATTCAGAGGTTATTTTATGCATAGATATCAGCGTGTGTGTGTGTGCGTGTGTGTATGTGTGTAGGTGTGGCTGTGCACGCTCTCGTGTGGTGTGTCTGTGTGTGTGTGTGTGTGCGTGAAAGTGCATATATGTGTCACTGCACGCGTACGGGTGATTGATTGGTTGTTTCTTTTTTTTTGTTTAGCGGTATATCAACATCTCTGTGGGTTATCTCCTCTACTCAGTTCTGTTTTTTCTTTGGGTGTAATAATCGTTCTAGTGATACAAGTCTTACTAATTAACCCATAGATGGGGGGAGAAGAGGTGGATTCATAGCTTCCCCAGGGGTATTCGCGCGTAAGAAGATATAACGAAGCCGACCGGAACTCGGCTCTTCGATTAGCAATACCGTGCCATTATCCATTACACCACCCACACATCCACGCTTACAGCACCCGATATTCCCACTTGGGTACTCATCTAGACACTGAGCAGTTGCTTAACATCGGGGATCGTACGGGAACCTGTGTGCCAACGTGATGCGGCCATAAGCATGAGACACGTGGAATATTATTAAAAAAAATGAGGCTGTTTCTTATTTTGAATAATATCCCATAGCACGGAATTGTTAATCAGCGAGCCGAGTTCCAATTCCGGTCGGGTTTGTTATAACCACTTGCGCACAAATACCCTCGGGAAAGGTAGGAATCCACCCCTTTTCTCCTCCAGTTATATATGTTTCCAAAGAATTGATGGATTTTATTTTGTAATCCGCCATTTATTACTTCAAACGTGATTTTTGGTTATCTTTTTCCATTTTTTTTTTTTTAATTTTTAATTTTTTTATAATCCTTATTTCGACTATCCGCCTGCGTTATACGAAAATTTATTAATAAAAAAAAAATATGTGCCTTCTGACAAGATTTGAACTTGCGATACCCTGTGCGGGAGAAATGATCGTCTGATCCGGTGTGTATTGACCACTCGGCCACGTAGGAGCTTCATAATTAAGGCAAATAGAACCTTGCTTGATGGTGTGACCTGTAAGTTGAAAGCTTAGATTACAAAATACGAATTTTGGTCATTTCTTTTTCTTTCTTTTTTTTTATCTATCGATCTATCTAGCTATCTATTCATCTCATTTCTCTCTCACTATCTTTCTATCTAAGGCTGTTCATATCTATCTATCTATCTATCTATCTATCTATCTATCTATCTATCTATCTGTCTTTTTTCTTTCTTTCTATCGATTAATCTAGCTATCTTTTTATCTCAGTCTTTCTCTCTCACTATCTATCTATCTATCTATCTATCTGAATCTTTTTCTTTCTTTCTTTCTTTCTATAAATCTATTTAGCTATGTATTTATCTCAGTCTTTCTCTCTCACTGTCTATCTAAGGCTGTTTATCTCTCTCTCTCTCTCTCTCTCTCTCTATCTATCTATCTATCTATCTATTTATCTATCTATCTCTCTTCGCAACAGAAATTACTTAAACTCCCACTTTTACCATTATCATTGTGATATAAATTCCATTTCTTACAACCGAATTTTGTCACCTGAGAAACATTATCCGCTAATAAAGTACACACACACACACACACAAACACACACACACACACACACACACACACACACACACGCGCGCTCACGCGCGCGCGCACGTAAGCACACATGCATGTACTCACGAAGATAAACACACACACAAATTGTATAGATATGTAGATAGAAAGAGAGAGAGGGAGAGAAAAAGTGTGTGTGTGGACATAGGAATCACCACTGCATGGTGACTGTCAGTTTTACGCCTTAATGGTACCTTTACATCAAGAACACTATGCAGTTTTTTTTTTATCTCTGTGTCCAGATTTTCCAGATCTATAAATATGTCTACTGACTCTTTCGTCTAAAATATAGCAAATTTTAAAAGTTAGAGAGAAAAGTTAAAAGTTAGATAGAGGTGATATAGGAATTAGCATACAGTGTTGATTCCTATGTTCGCACTTCATGTATTTATAATATATATATATATATCCTTTACCTGACCAGGATATATACGTCGTAAGACCACGTGGATGCGTCCTCGTTCTTAGTTTTTCTTGGCTTCGTTGAAGATGGTTTCACTGGAAGAATTATCAGAAATTCTGTTTTTAATTGATTGTTGGAAGATGTGTGTATGTACGATGGTTTGTCTTTAGATTTTCTGTATAGTTGATACGAACATTTTTTGGTTGAAAATCTATTTGTTTTAGGTTAGATTTTATGCCTGTGTCTACGTGTGTGAGGAATAAAGAATAAAGCTTATAAAGGATGTTCCAATAACTAGGACCGATTTTAAATGTAAATTAAGTTTAAGCGTCTAATGATTTTTTCTTTTTTTTCTTTCAGATTTAACAACTTTGTTGACAATTTCAACCCTGGAAAGATTAACAATATGTTAAAAATTTATATCGAAGCCTATTAGGAAAATAGACTTTCAAACATAAATGCGCTTCGCAATTTTTTGGTCAACATAATCGACCCACCAAGAGTACAATTGGAAAACGATGTAACGTTGTTGTGGAGAGGTTCAATTCCTGCGCGCGATGTCGAATAGAGGGGTCTGGATTTTCAGCCACATTCTTGTGCAGCAATGTTTTCAGCTGAAAAGGTTAAACGAGCACGCAATGGTGTTTTCACATCTGCCATCGACCCAGTGTGTTTGAACTTAGGAACAATTTTTCCAATTGCACTCTTGAAACTTTAATACGTTGTTTGATTGTTAATCTTTCCATGGTTGAAATTGCCAAAGACTTAAGTTGTTAAATCTGAAAGAAAAAGAAAAAAATCATTATACGCTTAAACTTAATTCACATTTAAAATCGGTCCAAGTTATTGGAAGACCTTTATTACTGTTGTATTACATGGGAGAGTGTCTTCATTGGCACACTTTATGCTTTTTATATTTCTAATCACTGATTTGCTATTTTTATTTTTATTTTTATTTTCAGGCAAGGGAAATGTTTCCGCAAAATCAAAGGAACAATCCCCGGTGAGGCTCGACTTTCTATCATTCAAACTTGGCTGTTTAATAAATTTACGTCACATCTGTTTATGCCTGTTAATATCTATTTGTTCTTTATCCCATCTATCTATCTATCTATCTATCTATCTATCTATCTATCTATCTATCTATCTCAATGTGTTAATTTCTATCGAACCCAGTCTAATTATATCTATCTATCGATCTCAATTTGATAATATCTATCTATTTCTTTCTTTCTTAATCTATCTCTTTCTTTACTTTCTGTCTTTCTTAATCTATCTATCTATCTATCTATCTATCTATCTATCTATCTATCTATCTATCTATCTATCTATCTATCTATCTCAATGTGTTAATGTCTATCGATCTCAATCTGATAATATCTATCTTACTTGTACCTATATTTACTTATATTTCTTTCATGGTGTTTTTGCAGCTTCATGAACAAGAAAAAGAATTGGAAAACTTAGCAA